AGTTGGCCAAAATGGCACTCTTTAATGCCCCCATAACTTTGCAAAAATTGTTCACAGGTGAAATATCTTTCCAAATTTAAGCTCAAGACAACAATATCTTTTGAATGATGTAAAAAAAATTCTGACAAAAATGGCTAGTTAAAAAGTCGAAATTTGTCTGAAGAAAAAAAAACCGACCCGAGCAAAAACACTCCGTTACTTTTGTCACGAAAGTTGGAACAGCATTAAACCAAAAGCAGCGTCAAATAGGGTTCATGGCTGTGCATAAGGATAAAAGTTGCTTTAAAATTGATTTAACCAAAATTTACGAAGAAATCATTTCACGGCATTCAAAGATTACAAAAACCACTGACAATAATTTGAGAGGGCGTTCACTTAGCTGGTGGTTCAGTGCACCAGTGGACCAGTTAACGTCTTTGCGGACGCTTGCTCGGTTATTTTTACGGCTGGAGAACTAAATCGATGATTCCAGAACAGGTTACATTAGCCTCTGTGATCGCATTTTAGTTCCTAAAAACGACCTTTATTTTTTATTTACATACAATTTTTCAAATACTTTCTTTTTAAATTAGACATTTTGATAAAGCTATTTTTTTTGTTGAACAAGGGATAAATTGTTAGTTTGTAAGGTTTTTTTATTCTCACAGGACTACATTTTGTTCATGCGAAGAACTGCTGTCTTAGCAAAATTGTGGACATTGTGACGAAAGTTTGAATTCGAAAACAACTGGCGGAAATCGCGGAACTGGCAGAAATTTTCGAGTCATAGGGCTCGATAACAGTTTTTAAAATGCATTTAAATATTAACCGGCACTCGGTAAAAAGATAAAATAATCGATTATATTAATCCACACAAAAAACCCTGCTTTAAAAAAACTTCACTATAAAAGTGCCACTTACTGCGCTTATTCAGAGGGAGCACATAGTCCCGAAACCATAAACTCTAAAAAGCGTAAGTGTAGCTTTGCGCTCGTATGTATTGCTTTCGAGGGTCAAAGTGCTCTTGGAAAGAAAAAGAAGGGAAGCTAGTGCCATTTTGGCCAAACAAAAAAGTATCAGAAATTATTACCTCATAATCCTCCGGACTCGCACTTACTAATGCTGTAGAGCGAGCTTTCAGTTTTTGTTCTGTGCCACAGAAAGTGGTTTCAAGAGCTTCAGGACTTATTTTCCTATTAATTCTTATTATTGCCTAAAAAGTCTCTTACAAAACCAGAGGAGTCGATCCCATGGTTGCTGCGATAGGGTTCAAATTTTTTGTGATTTTTTCCGCCAGTTTTGAAGGTGCTTGTGCGTTCCACGACTGAATAATTAACAAACGTTTTTTTCGGCCCTGCAAAATTGCTGTCAATTTAGGAACAGACTACCAAAAGAGTGCCGTGACTGACCACGAATCGTTTGATTCAAATTGCACGTGAATTCATCAAACTTGTCAACAGGAAGCACCTTTACTTCTCAGAAGTCCTCTTGACGTAAGAAGTTCTAAAGTAACCAACCCCACAGTTTGTGATGTTGATTGGTGGTTACAAAGCTAGCGTTTAAAACGAAAATTCTAAGCGAATAACAACTAACAGATAGTCCAAAAACGGAAGCTGATAGGGATGCTGGGAATCTTAAAAAAGTTTTACAAAACTTTGCCTTCTCTCAAGATTTATTGACGTTTTTATCAATTTCAGTTTGAACTAGACGGCTAGTTGGGACTTTTGAGCAAACAAAGAATGCAGAGGGAAAAACTATCAAAAATGAGCAATGCGGCTCGATTCTATGACGGCTCTGTCGTATGACAGGAGTTAAATTTTCCCCTCCTGTGATTCCTCTTTCTTTATTTGAAACTTTCTAGTTCAAGCGGATTAGTAATTTCCTTGATTTCAGTGCGGATTACCGCAGTTTTGGACTCAGTCTGAACCTAAAAATAAGCTTTCGCTTGCGTCTAGGAAAAGAGCTGAACTCTTCTCAGGTATAATAAGTTTTTTTCTTAAATATATTTTTTTCAGAACTAGAGCCTGCTCCAAACCCTCATTGAGATCACACGCGAGACCAGCCAGGTAAATCTTTTTAAAAACTTCAATTCTCTGTTTGAAAAGTCACTGTTAATTTTCAAAAAATTTGTCCTACTTACCCAGCCAGCAGCAGGTTTCAAAAAATTCGCTGATGTTTCTTTTGTTCTGGTATTATCAGGGTTATTCCATCTCAAGACGTGAAACCCCTGGTCCAGGGTCGGTTTTTCAAAAAAATTTCCAAATCTGCTGGCCACGAAGCTGGCGACTTCCTCGCAAAAAGTTGTTCAGTTTACTGTTGTTTAAGCGCATTGGCTGCGGGGCCCTCCCGCCCAATAAAGCGGGTGGAAGGTTGGTTAGCTGATGGGACTCCGACTTATAGGTACATTCCAAGATCTTCAGCTGATACACAAATTTTTGAAGCGAAGTTTTTGCAGTCGGTCTTTAAAGATGGCTTCTTCAGAACCGGTGTTGTTCTAACAAACATTTTTTGTGTTATACAAACCAGAGAGGTTTAGACGATTGACGAACTTAGCTGGAGTGACTAGATGCTGAGACAAAAAAATGTTAACCAAACTAGGGTTTAATTTATTAGTGCTGAGGTTTTTTGTTCTATCAGCGTTTCTTTTTGGTTTTTCAGTAGCCATACCAGTTTTTGTATGAGCAGTAGTGGGTTTGCGTGGTTATCAGTTTTGTCTAGGTTTTCACTTGAATAAACACGTTCGTCACCATGAAGTTGTAGACTATGAGTGCTTGTGCATCCTGGCTTTGAGCTTTTCCTCGCTCGAGGATGCTGTCAGAATGTCTTCTGGTTCCCTTGTGAGCAGGAAAAGAACGCTTAGTTTTCTGCAGAACGTTTTCCTCGTTGTATGAAACCTTTCATTTTAAACACAGGGCACTTCCATAAGCCTTTTGTCTTGCAGAGAACACAAAATGAGTACTCAAATACCTCCTCCATTGCAATTGTCGGAATGCAATTCTTCACAGCTTTAGATTTTGTTGGTTGAGTTTTCCAGCCGTTTATTCCTTTTGCATGTGAGCTGCTGCTTTTTCCTTTAAATTGAATTACCTTTCACCATAAACAACCATTTTCAAAGTTTGGTGGTGTTTTGCGAGGTTTTCTTTAAAATCAAAACACCTAAACATGGCCACTAGACTGGAGATGATCTTTGAAATTTAAAAATTTGAATATTTATGTCAGATTATGTAATCTGAGCTGAAAAAAAATTTGAGGGTGAGCTGTAATCACATTTTTGGCTGGCCAATTTTTTCTAAAGTGTTAGGGACGTTCTCTTAAATTCTTTTGCTGTACTCAACCTCTGCTGTGTCTGGTTAGTTTTTCAATTGACAATGGTTTTTAAAAAGATTAATTTCCATAAATGCTCAAAGAGGCTGTGTTCACGCAGAAGGCTGCGTTTGGTGCTACTGGACTGGGTTGCCATCATAATGGGCTAGCTTCCAATCGTGTTGAGTAGCCTTTTTTGAGACGAAGTTTGGACTAAATCACTAAGTGTACGGCTTGCGGCTGAGGAGTTGAACGCAAAGTAGACAACGTTTTGATCTGTTGCAGAAAAAAATATAATTTCTGTTATGTTCGGAAGCAATTATGGAGAAACAAAAGTGCGTATGTAATTGATTTGGTTTTTCGATATTCAGATTTAATTATCACAGCTGTTTTTTGCGCTTTTTTTCACCATTGAGAATATGTTTTTTTAGCTTGGATAAACAAAGCCGATATTTCCAATGTAGTTGTTCCACTTTTTCATCGTGAAGTTTTGTGGGATTAGAATTTGCCAAACTTGAAATAATTAAGCTCAAAAATTTTCGATTATACAGTGATAATTTCAATAGGCTAAAAAGGACTATAATAACAAAATTGAATGTTTTACATGGTTTTATTAATCTGCGTTGTCATTAGACAAAAGGAGATCAGAGCAAATTTAGTTGAATTTTTATTTCAAAAAAATTCAGGCGCAACTTTCAGAAAATAGTCCTCTTAAAGCTTGTTGACCTACACATGAGTTTCACTTTTCTCTAAATTTTTTTAAAATATTAGTTTTAGCGTAGTTTTTGATTGCAAAATAACTTCCGAATTATAAAAGCTAACCTCTAGCAAAAAACAATCTCCAATTTTTGCAGCAATCTCGCTTTCTTTTTGAATGAACCAAGAAAAATTATCATATGCAATTACTACTCAAATTGCGAATATCTGCTAGAGTTTTTTCCGCAACCAAACTGATTTGTTGTGTTAGAAAACCTCGGTTATTTTAATTGAACAAAACACAAAAATTTTGAGCCAAACACGAGTTATGTAGCAAAGAGAATATATTTTTTTAATATATGTAAAATTGCTTGACATGTATTTGTCAAGTATGAAAAAATTAATATCGTAGAGTTTTCGCACAAGTTTCTGTAAGTACATTACGAGGCCAAACTGTGCACTGGATGGCGCACAATATTTTGTGTCTGAATGTTCCTGGATTCCAGAGACAAGTCTTTAAATTTTTTAAAATTTCGTCGGAACGATCAAAGGAAAGTAAAGAACAAAAGAAGAACAAAGAGAGCGTCCTTGTTGCGGAATCAGCTTACAATGCACAAAATGCACAGTTTGGCCTCGTAATGTATGAAAATGTTCGAAATTGTATGATAAGCATTTTTCCATTTCTGAAAATTATATGAAAAGCATTTTTGTTGCTTGAAAGGTTTGTATTTGTAACACAAATTTCTTCAGTTAACCTCAGCTCACTTGTGATCAGATCTGAAATTCCAATTAATACGCACAAAATTTTTGACTAAAAAAACATAAGAAAATGAACTGTATACTATAACTTTGTTCAGGAGCAAAAAAAATAAACTCAATTTTTCGTTCATGGTTTATGATTACTCTTCTGCGATACTACCGTACGGATCATTTTAGTAGATTATTGGTCAAAACTTTGATCTACAAACAAAAGTTTTCATTTATAAGATATATGATATCACTTATAAGTTTTCTTCTGCAATTTGTTAATCATTAATAGATTTTGATTTAAATTCTTCTGGTGACTCATCTCGTCAAGCATTTCCCGACGAGTGCTCTCCCTGCGACAAAAACCATCAACAGTAAACCTCTTGCCTCATTCCGTATTACGTAATAGCTGAAACAAAAACAAAATGTCTATCGATGTTTGTCTGAGTTCATGATGCGTGTTCAGTCCGACGAAAAAACAGTCCGATACAAAACAGTTCGAAAAACAGTCCCAATTAATAATTGCTTTAACAAGCCGGCAGGCCGAGAATTTTCGTTTGTTCAACAAGCATAATGAACAAAATAGTGACCGCCGCAGTCGCGCCAATGTGTTGCGAACTTGCCAACAGAGGGTAGGACTTAATCCGAAAATTAGAGCCGATTATCGCCGCGAAGCGGCGACGTGCGCGTAGCGCGCCCACTGGCGACCTTAAACCAGACTGTTTTGTATTGGACTGTTTTTTTCCTCCATTACATGATTTTTGGGACTATTTTGTATTGGACTGTTTTGTATTGGACTGTTTTGTATATGCACCGTTTGAGTTCATGATAATGCAGTAACTCCCAGAAAGTGATATTTTAGTGTTAAAAAACATAGTTAGATCGGCGCTATATTATCACATATTGGGGTTTGCCGCATCATGAATGCAATCTATCATTAATAGATTTTTGGTATAAAAACACGCTATTCGCAGCAAAGCAAAACAAGACTGCTCGTGTCAGGGCAAAGCCCTGAAAGTTCCGACTGTCTTTTAACGTTTACCCGGGTTGACCTCCATACACCGAAAATGCTTATCATACAATTCCATACATCAAGTGTGTGGGAAAATGCTTGTCATACAATTTTCATACAATTTCTAAAAATGGTTGAAAACTGGTATAAACTCGTTTCTGTGGCTGTTTGATTCTAATAAAACATTCTGGTGATAAAAACTGAGGTTTTCGTTTTTTTTGAAAAAAATGCTTATCATACAATTCCCATATATGAAAAGTGTATGACTGGCATTTTTTTTGATGGCGACACAAAGTAATTTTGAAAATTTGGCCCAAAAATTTTTTTGTTTGTTTTTCAACCGCAAATCGAATTTCGTACGCAAACAAACGTTTTTCGAAAATTTTTTTTTCGCATGCAAAATTGAATATTTTGTGTGCATAACGTAGTCCAGGATACGATAAAATTGGCTTTTATTTTCTTTTCACTTATATATTTTTTTTCAAAAACGCGGAAACTTCCTATTTCTTCTGTATGGGGTGTTAATGTATGCCTTGATCAATGTCTGATAATTTGAATATTCAAAAATTTAAAATAATCATCATTGAAAAATTCTGCCAAAAAATAAATGTCTGTTACTTTTGTTATATCAATTGTAAAAGACAGCCACATTCAGGTCGTTTTCTATGCATTGTCAATGCAAGACCGGCCAACCTTTGGTGTTTTGAGTAACCAAGGTCTTTGGCACTTGTGTTCGGTTGCAACTACAACCGAAAATTTTTCAGAAACTAAATTGAAAAAGAAAAAATCAAAATTTTTGGTTTATGGAAAAACACACTATCATACAATTTTCATATATGGAAAAATGCTTATCATAGAGTTTTCATACAATTTTCTGTACGTATGGAATTGTATGAAATTGTATGACAAGAAGTTTCTCATATATGGAAATTATATGATAAGAAGTTTTGGTCAACCCGGGTATTGAGCAGTAATAACTTAAAAAAATTAAATCTAAAAAAATAAAATGAAAAAAAAATTCTAAAATTTGTTTTTTTTTATGAAATAATCCCCACACACGCTATATAAAGTACAAAACAATAGATTTCGCTCCTTGTAACAAATCAATTATGACAAATAAGCTTCTTACAGCCAATTTGGAACGATTTCTAAAACGGATTAAACCTCCGCTTACGCGTTAATAGCGCGAATTATATCGCGCGTTAATTGTCCCAAATTGGTCAAAATGGCAATCTTTAAACCCTCATAACTTTACGAAAAATGATCACAGGTGAAATATCTTTTCAAATTTAAGCTCAGGACAACAATAGCTTTCGAATGATATAAAAAATTTCCGTCAAAAATGGCTAGTTAATAGGTCGAAATTTGTCTGAAGTTACTTTCGTAACAAAATATTCCGTTTACTTTCGTATCGAAAGTCGGAACACCTATATTCAAATGAATCACACTTTTATTACGAGGGTGGTCCTAATTCGACTTTCTTTTAACGTGTCTGAAGTTTTTGTTCCGACTTTCGATACGAAAGAAACGGAATATTAGTGCTCGGGGTGGGTTTTTTTTTCTTCAGACAAATTTCGACTTTTTAACTAGCCTTTTTTGACAAATTTTTTTTTATATCATTCGAAAGCTATTGTTGTCCTGAGCTTAAATTTGAAAAGATATTTCATCTGTGACCTTTTTTTGTAAAGCTACGGGGGTTTAAAGATTGCAATTTTGGCCAATTTGGGACAATTAACGCGCGATATATTTCGCGCTATTAACGCGAAAGCGGAGAATTAATCCGTCTTAGAAATCGTTCCTAATTGGTTGAAAGAAGCTTATTTCCCATAATTGATTTGTTACAAGGAGCGAAATCTATCCTTTTGTACTTTATATGGCGGGTGGGGGGATGGTTTCTATAAAAAAATTACAATTTTTAGAAAAAAAAAATTTTCCTTTTTTTTATTTCATTGAATTTTTTTATGTTATTACTGCTACATAAACATTAAAAGGCACTCGGAAAATTAAGGGCTTCGCCCTGATACGAGCAGTCTTGTTTCATTTTGCACACGGATTATCAGCAAAAACTTGACGGAATGTCACAACTGAGGTAGATTTGATAAGCGAACAAGACTGCTCGTATCAGGGCGAAGCCCTGAATGTTCCGACTGCCTTTTAAGGTTTTATGGTGCAGTAGTAACATTAAAAAATTAAATGTAAAAAACTAAAATGAAAATTTTTTCCTAAAATTTGAATTTTTTAAATGAAAATCATCCCCCCACACGCCATTTAAAGTACAAAAAGATAGATGTAGCTCCTTTAACAAATCAATTGCGGCAAATAAGCTTCTTTCAACCAATTTGGAACGATTTTCAGACGGATTAACTCTCCGCTTACGCGTTAATAGCGCGAAATATATCGCGCGTTAATTGTCACAAATTGTCCAAAATGGCAATCTTTAAACCCCCATAACTTTACGAAAAATGATCACAGGTAAAATATCTTTTCAAATTTAAGCTCAAGACAACAGTGCCTTTTGAATGATATAAAAAATTCTGTCAAAAATGGCTAGTTAAAAAGTCAAAATTTGTCTGAAGAAAAAAAAATTCACCCCGAGCACAAACATTCCGTTACTTTCGTATCGAAAGTCGGAACAAAAATGCGACGCCTTTTTCTGATTTTGTGAAATATTCTATAAAATTTTCAAAATTTAAGTTTTTTCTCGGTTTTTGAAAATCTTTTTGAAATTCTCGGTTTTTGAAAATGATTTGATTTCTGTGCTGTTCTACTTCGGTGTTTCTGCAATAATAGAGAAAAAACTTCAAACCTTTCAAATTTAGCCACAAAAACTATCAAACATATCGTCTGAAGGAAAAAATATCCGAGCACAGAAATTCCGCACATTTTCTTAAGTTCGAAACAAAAAATGGCAAAAAGCTTTAACAAAGCATTGACAAAACAAAAATGCTTGATACAAAATGAAATGCATTTACCCTTTTGTTCCGTTCCTTTGCCGTCTTGTAGTAGTTTGAGCTCTAACTGGAGCAGAAGTTGTTGGTATGTTTCCGCTGGTAGTCGTCTCTCTTCTTTCGCTATAAATTGTAACGCGCGAGATTCACAGATATTTATGAAAATTTACAGAAATGAATTCAGATCACAAAATCTTAAAAATGCTTGTTTAACTTGTAGCACCTGATTCTTGCTAAAAGTGAATACTCAATTTCAAACCAAACTTTTAACACTGTTTAATTAACTGCAGTTAACTTAGTAGCTTCCAATAATTTTCTTCGTATTATCAAAAACACATACCTTGCTGCAGTGGTAGGCAGATGTGCGTTAATAGTCGTTTGGCTTCCTTCGATTGTCACTGTTGTTGGTCTATTGCCGTCCCTATACGAATGATAAAGTTTAACTATTAAGGTTTTTCAGAAATTCAATAATGTAAGAACTCTTTTCTGTCTACTTGGTTGTCTTGCTTAGCGTTAAAGAAAGAAAAAAAGTCTACTTAACAGTCTACCCTTTCAAGCTAAGAACTGCTACTTAAACTGAAAGTTGTTAAAAGGTTACTCAAATTTTTTGTTAGTTTTTGATATTGTTGGTTTCTTTTTGATTTTAGGATAAGTTTTGACTAAACTTTGTCTTGAATCCAGTTTTTAATAAAATTTCAAAGCCTAAATTATTGATGAATTGTTATAAACATTTTTGAATCATCCATGATTTGTTGCTGTTTCAACTCTAAAAAACTGATCTTTTCCCAGCGCGAAATTAGCGATAATCCATCGACTCAAAATTGATCATTTTAATAGCGCTGAAATAGTGATAATTCATCAAAAAAACTTGTTATTGTGGCAACGAACATCAATAACTGATCAATGGCGATCGCGTTTTTGCATTTTTTCACCATTGTTTAAAGTCAACTCAAATCCAGCAGTGCGATTTTCTTGATTTTTTGAGTCTTTTTAAATTTTTTTTCAAAATCAAGATTGATTTCAATCATTTTTTTGATAGCCTGTATATAAACGACGCAAACTTTTTTTTGAAAATAGAAATTCTGAATATTTGGGGCCAATTCCTTTTTGGCAACTGAAAAAAAATAATGGCTAACAATCTCTGAATAATCTTTAAATGAATTGTAGTCACAAACAAAAACTTTTGAACTTTGAATATTTTAGTATTTATCTTAGAAGGTTATTGTGACGAACTTTGATGAAAGTGGCAGAGTACTTAAGCTCGAGGTGGTTTTTTTCTCAAGATCTGAAAGTATTGACGTCCTGAGCTTAAATACAAGGATATTGTTTAACTGAGGTCATGTGGGAATCGGGCTTAACGTTTTTGATTTCTTAGGTTTGTTTTGCTCATACGTCTACTGGTAAGAATGAAAGTAAAAGTAAGAAAGAAAAATTTATATTCAAAGTTCATTCCATGTTATTAACAATTCATGAAAAAAAAAAAAATACGGTAAACCAAAATGAAGCAATGGCAACTGAAAAGTGCTTTCTTTTTTCTTGTCGTCAACATATGATTCACTTTTTTCTTATCCGCAATATGATCAAAAACAAGTTCTTCAGTGCCGTATGCTTTAAATTATTGCACCTATCTAGGTTGATTTATTACTCCGAGCATCAGCCCTCTTTTCAATGATAAAAAAATTGAGTTCGTTTTTTTGATATTTATAAAATATAGCTGCGATCTCCATTCACTTAAAACCCCTCAATTTTAATTGGAAATTGTTTTTTTTGTGCACGTTATTGCAAAAAATTTCTGCGTGACACGGAATACAAAAGATGAATACGCAATATCAAGAAGACAGTGTTGTTTTATGCCTAATAATTTTGAAATGATTAGCTTGCTTAAAATTCGTTTGTAAGGTTTTGTAGCAGACTTATTTTGCCGCCAAGTCTACCTTCAACGGAAAAAGGAAATTTATTTGGCATAAATTATCCTAAATTGTTTTAATGGTAATTTCAAACAATTTTTTTTCTTTTTTTAATGTATGAAAATTTTGGTTTAAGACATCAAAATGTTTCAGGTAGTTTAGAAAAATTGTGTTTGCTAGTTTAAGAATCGAAAATAGTCTGAAAAAAAAACAAGAAGGGGAAGTTTCAATAATACAGCGGAGTTTTTTCTCGCCGCAAAAACTCAATTCCAGACAAAAAATATCAAAATTTCGAATAACCATACAAGAAATAACGAACATAAAATTCCAATAAATTATGTCCTTCTTTTATAGTGAAAATCATAGATTCGATACTGCGTATATTTATCACCTTTTGATGCTTCTGGTTATGCTTTTATTATAAAATTTATTATTGAGCCTTAAAATTTTTTTTGTAATACAAGGTTTCTAAATCTAGATTGAATTGCTCGAAAAAAAAATTGATTACCCGCATCTGGCCAATTGTTCTCCATTAGCAATCAGCTGGTTGTAGTTGTCTTCATCGAAAACAGATTGGCCATTGATATTCCCTTGTTTTAGATAGTGACATGTGACGATAGTGTTACCATTTGAGCAGGTGCCTCTGCCACAGCCTATTTTAGTGGTAGTAGACCACATCATCTAAGCACAAGTTCAAAAACATTACTTTGATTCAATGAAGAAAAACCTTGGATCATATTACATTATTTTCTGTATAATGGCCTGGCATTCAATTTTTTTTTTATTTGTTAAATTTGGACTATCTTATATGGCTTAAAAGTGAGCGTTTATAGCACAATAATCATAAGCCTTAAGATCTAATCAAGTTCTAATCAGGTTTTGAGCCATTTCAAAGAAATCGAAAATCACGTTTCAAACAATTTCAAAGTGCTCAAAGACCACATTTCTTTGTAGTTGTATAGCACCAGCTATTCGGAACATAGAAAATGGAATTTTAAAGTAAAATCTATTCATAATCATTATAAGTTTTTTTTGTTTTTCCTTTAACGTGGTATTTGGAATAACTGAATAATTAGCTTATCTTATTTTTTTATTGGAACTTTGCAGCCAAATTGATTCGCAGCCTACAAAATACTGATTAACAGGAAAACTTCAAATTCTAGAATTTATTATCCCGAACTATGCACTATGCATCTTGGCAGCTTTCAAACTCCTACATTAGGTAACAAAATCTAACAATTTGCGCTCAGAGAATCATTAGTTTTCAAATGGTAAACAAGTTATCGTCAGCAATTTATCGTCTAAAAACTAAACTGAGCACAAATTTCTGTTTCTCTCATCAAAAGTCTACAAAACATTTGGAATGGCTAGCGATACATAGCAAGCATTCGATATTTGCTAGTATTAACCTCAATCGCAGCGTACTGCCGCGTTTTGTTCCTAGCCACTGAAAACGTGTAAAATAATTGTTTTCCAATTGTTTTTAGTTTTCGTTCCGATCATTGAAAGTAGGGGGAACGTTGTGTTCTGCTCGGTTTCAATTTTTTATAATTCAAAGAAAAGAAAAATTCCACGAAGAATTAGGAAGCAAAAAACTATTGGATAGCTGAAGTTTTATATCATATTAAAGCCCTTTAATTTGCAATTTGAGCGAAATTTAATACCTCTAAAGTTTTTCCAGTGTCCAGAAAAACCAGTTCGAAATTTTTGATTTTTCTTCGAATTTTGAGCGAGTAAAGTGAACCGGTAGATCTCTCTCATAATAGAAAAACTTTTCTTTTAGCTGTGATAAACTGAACTTCACTTCAGGAAAATTTTCTGGAAGCTTTCTTTTGCTAATGAAAACTTTTCAGTAGAAAAGATGGATGCAAAAAAGCAGAAATTTAAAAAAAAACTCCTCCTTTTTTTGGTTTATGCAAAGAAAAGTTTCTGCAAAAAAAAATGATAAAAATCTACTTAATTTAGCATTATTATCAGAGAAATATAAGTTATAGGCTTTTGTTCAGGTCATATCATCACGCCACGACATAAGAAAGACACAGTCTGAAAAAAAAAGAAACCATTTTTTTGTAATAGTTTCAGATTATGTTTGGAACTTTTTGTGATACTTGCATATCAACCGGCTATTCTTGTTCCAATAAATATTTATCTAAATTTTTTGCATGCTAGAAACAAACCAGATTACACGAACCAGAAACAAATAAATGCGAGGCCAAAATTTAAAACTGAGAGGAACTTTTAGGTTTTAATGAGGTGAAGAGAACTGTTTTCTATTAAAAAATGAGGAGCTCTTATCTTGACCTTCCCCTTTGTGAACGTAGCAATAAATTGTTAAACTCTTTTTCCACAATCAGACGTTGAATTGCTGTCAAAGTGCAGAAAATAGTTCTCAGTTTCCTCTCTCTCTCTCACCTGTGTGAAATGTCCAACTTTTGTCCAGTCGACGCACGAACTCCAAGATTCAGTTGGATCATCTGGATACTTGTAGGTGTCTATTTCTCTGTACCAACCCGTGCCTGCACCAGTACCCAGCTCATCTGCAGTCAAGCCTTGTTGCCGAGTCATCCAGATGTTTTCACCTAAAAATGGAGCCAAGTTTTTCACATAGGAAACATTTTTTCGATTTTTTTATTAGTCTACATAAGTCTAGCTCGCGGAAAAACTAGCTCGTGTTGTAGCTTATAAGGTCGGAATGCAGTAGATAGCACAAAGATAGCAAAAACCAGTTGTTACCGCCTACCCTCCTCTCAAATTTTGTGAAATATTTTTGCATTTTTAACCCCTCTCCCATAAAAAAAAAGATATGCATCGACACCAATTTTTTTTATCGAGGAGGGGATTTGTAAAAAAAAAACATGTCGGCCTAAATCCGCCGGAAGTTGTGACCCTTTTCTTTTCGCAGACTACTGGTTGATATAGCTATTTAATCACGAGTCTAATCACTTGTTTTATCGAGCGCCAAAAAATAGTATTTACTTCTACGATGGTTACCATTGAAATTCGCGAAAAACTCTGGGAACCTTATTAAAAAATATATATAACTTGAGATCATCTTCTAATAGGATTCACTTCAAAAATAGAGATCTGATTGGTTAACATTCTTAAGAAACTTTTTGCAAGGTTGACTAATTTAAAGGAGCTGACCTTGGCCAAGTGATCTGAAAGCCCGTGTGGAATGTTGAATACCACAGGAACCTTGAGTAAGGCTGTCAGTGTGCTCCTGCGCAGCGGAAGCTAAAACCTTCTAACAGTTAATTTCAAACTACTCAAGTTCTTATTTAATTGTTATTATTTTTGAATTTAACGGTGCAATCTTTACTAGTCACATATGCATATAACCGTGGGGGGATATGGGGGTGGGATTTTTTTCTAGGTTCCATCTGATGGAATAAGTCAAAAAGATACAAAATATTAACTAAGAAAAAATAATAATCAATTGCCTAAAGCGGCGTTCCATGTGAGCAAGGTGAGTCCAGCGTTTCCGCGGTGCAGATTGTGTTTCGCCAGTATAGCACTTCGCAGACCTGCCGATGAGTACCTGAAGAAACCAAAATCAACGCATCTGTGAGCAATTATTGAATTAATTGTCAAAAAGAAAATTTTTTTTTTTTAAACTTCAGTTTTTCAGCGCTTTTTCGTGCTCGTGATTTCTAGTAACTATTGCGTGTTGAAATTATAAAAGAACTCTTCGATGCATTTATCACTGAAATAAAGTTCATGCTTAAGGCCCTAAGATTCTATCACGAACAAGAAGTGCAAATTTTTGTGAGCGTGAAAAGTTTTTGTTCCGACCATTTCAAAAAAAAATGCGGAGGAACTTTGTATTCGGGTGTTTTAGTTTTTTCTTTTCTCTTTTTCACGCAAAATCAAGTACCCCAAATAATCATCGAAATGGTTTGAGTGATAAATCATATTAAAACCCTTTCAATCGTGATACGAACGACATTAAAAATTTTGAAAAAAAACTTCTCAGTGTGGAGAAAAACTAGTTTGAAATTTTTGGTTTTTGGCCTACTGTAAAGCAAAAAAGGTGAGGCTAAACAGGCTCACAAAAGCTCAATTATGCTTAATTGAAGCCGTAAAAATTAGTTTTTCTTGAACAATGTTAGTTTTAGGAGTTTTTTAGCGCCAATTTGGTGTCAAAAACTTCAAAATTTACAAAAATTCTGCAAAAAAATTTGAAAAAATTTTTGAATTTTTTTTT